AAATAAATTCATAATAATATAAGCAAAATTCTAAAAATAAATGCAAAAATAATTTTTAAAAATTGTAATAAGTAAATGCATAGTAAAATATAAACAAATTTAAAAAAAAAAATTAAAATAAAATTAAATTAAATAAAAATGCAAAAATACAAATGGAGATAAAAGAGTTGCCTATGCTCAATAATCTTAAACATTCATTATTATTCCCCTATTTAAAATTGATCAAACTCAATTGTATGCAAATTGCAAACTAAAGTGGATTTTGAAAATTTGGATTTTGGATGGCCTAGCGGGATGCATAGAATCTGTGGAGCAGAACTTTTATCTCATAGTCTATTTGTAATCTTTGGCTGTCGCCAAGCGCCAGCTTTAACATATGCGCATAGTTTAGCATAATTTGAAGACATTATCTAAATTATTCCACAAAAAAGCTGGAGACACACAAAGAGAGAGAGACACAGAGAGAAAGAGAGAGAGAGAGAGTGAAAAAACCATTGCATATTTTGAGGCAGCTTAGCCTGGCAGGCATAAGCGCATTTCGAGCAGCCTTCAAAGCGAGTCTCCGGCTCAAAAGACGTTGCAGGCGGCGCCACTTGAAGCGCAGCTCGTGCTGCTTATGTTAATTTACATGTCTGATGGGCTCGAAACTGCTTCACCTGCGGGCGCTGTTGTGTGGGCGTGGCAGGCAGCCCCAGCCTGTTTACCTGCGACTAATGCATAAATTCCTAGGTATAAAACATAATATATATGTATGTGTGTGTGTGTGTGTGTGCATACCCAGGGCATATTATATATGTCTGTATGGCTACGCCTATGCATTTGCCTGGGCCACGCCCACGCGCATTTCGAAAAAATCATCGCATGAGCAGCCGCGCGTGTTTCATTGCACAAACAAAATGAGTTTCTCGCATGCCTGCCCAACCTCTGCTGCAACTGCATTAGGTGCCATTCTCCCCAGAGAGAGCGAGAGAGGGAGAGAGAGAGCGAGAGACGTGCCTGTCAGCCCAGACTGCCAGGTGGGCGCCATAATTGAGCTCAAAATAGTTTGCAT